CCACCCCCGCAGGCTTTGCGCCGCGCGACTACGCCTACTGCGGCCTCATCGCGGCGCACTCGTTCAAGGGCGACTGGCGCGCGGCGCTGCGGGTGCGCGACCGCATGGCGGCCGCGGGCCTGGCCCCCAGCGTGCACGTCTACAATGCCCTCATCGCCGCCTGCGACCGCGCGCACCAGTATGAGCGGGCGATGGAGGTGGCGCGCGACATGGGGCGCGCCGGCGTACCCACCAACTCAGTCACGCAGTCGGTGAGTTGGTGTGTCAGATGGCGGCGCAGAACGGCGGCGGCAGCCACGGCGGCAGCAGGGGTGGCAGCAGGGGAGCCGGAGGGGGAGGGCGGGCTGCTCCCGGCAGCAGGCTGCGCCGGCAAGCCTTGCCCCGGCGGCATTGGGCTTGTGCCGGGCCGGAGCAGCCCCTGCCCTGGCGGCCCGCCCTGCTGCCTTCTGTTGGCGTGTGCCGTGCTGACCCGCCGTGGCGCTGCCCGCTGCCCTCCCCCGCCTGGCGCAGCTGCTGGACGGCGTGTGCAAGGAGGGCGTGCGCGCGGTGGAGAGCCAGCAGGCGGCGGCCGCCGCGCTGTCGGCCGCCGTGGCTGCCGCCGGAACGCTCATGATCCGCGCCGGCATCTTCTGAGCTGGCCCGCTGCAGGCGCGCTGCCACTGTCAGCCTCCCAGATGCTGCGCCAGGCCCCAGCCCGCCCCTTTGTGTGTACTTTAGGATACTAGCCGATGCACAGTGTGCATGCCCTACAGTGAGGGCCCCCCCATCCTCTTTGACCCACCCCCTTTCGTCAGACCCCCCTCTTTCGTCGTCTCCAATCCCCTGCCCCTAATTCTTCCTCGCGACACTCGTTGCCCTCAGACCTTCTCCCATGCGCTGCGTGCGCCTCTCTCTGCTCACCCGTGACCCTTGCTTCTCTGTGCCTCCACCTACAAGCATACAGATGGTCTCGGTGACGCCCAACCCCCATTCGCTTCTCTTGGTATCTATCTCGCGCACCCAGCCCTCTCAGCCCCCCTCCCTCTTGGCAGAGCGCCGGCTGCGCCGCGCTCTTGCACCTCTGATGCCCCCTCTCAAACCCTCCTCCCCGGTTGGCGTGGCACCTGCCTGCCTGCTGCTGGGGTGACACCCATGCGCAGCGCGGCTGGCGGCCCGCCTCCCCATCTCCCTCTGATTGTTCTGTACCTTACCCTGCCGGCTCAGTTGAGAAAGAAGCGCCCCGACGCGCTCTTGCCCCCTCCCGGCCCAAACCAACGCTCTCTTTGCAAAAACACGCCCTCACACAAACCCGCTGCTCCCTGCACTGCGCCCCTCCTCTCCACCTCCATTCTCAAGCCCCAGGGGTTCTTGCAGGCCTCATGGCCGCGCCCACCTCCCCAGCAACCCTCACATTAGACTTTTCTTGCCAGGCACTGACGAACCCCAGCTTACCAGCCCACCAGGTACCTTCGCGCACCCGAACAGCGACCAAACCCATGAAGACGGCGGGACTGCGCCTGCGCCTGAGCCAGGCCAGGCCCGCACAATGCCCATACGTGTCGAACCAGACCCCCTTTCATCTCTCGCTGCACTGTCTCTCCCTAGCCCGCTAGCTCATTGCAACCCCCATTCTTCCCCTCTCCCCTGCGTGCACCCCCCTCGGCTCCCTTCGCACCAGACTTGCTCATGTTGTTCGCTTCCCCCTTTCTGCCACCTCATGATGATGATACGACGCCCCGCTCACCTGCTTCTTGATGGGACCCACCTGCAACCAACACGTTTTCACCACATTGCCTGCTAGTTTTGCCAGCATGATTGAATCTGTTGATCGAGTTTTCGCGAGTTTGTGTAACCAGATGCTTGAGAAGAAAAAGGAGGAGGGGAAAGGAGGATGCGATGATGTGCAGCCCGCTCCGCCCGCCGAGCGCCCCCATGCCGGCGCTGCGGGACGGACACCAGGAGATGCCGCCAGTGGCGCATTGCCCAATTGGCGGCATCCCGTGAGCACTTATTCCATTTTCTCGATCGCCCCTTGTCCCACAGCGGCTGCTGGGTGGTAGAGAACGAGCAATGCTGGTCAGCGCGGGCCTGCTGCGGGCTCCCGCCCTGCTGAAGCCCAGGATCGCGGCTTCCAGGCCTGTTGGAAGGCGCCTTCGGCACGTGCAGGCTTCCCTCGGCGATGCTCTCGTGCAGGTGTGTGCGGTGGCTTGCCAGTGGCAAACAATGCCCAGAGCCCACTCCTAGCGTGTGGTACGGATGTGAATGCGGCGCCGATAGCCGGGCGCCGCTGTTGCCTGCCGCCCGCCGCTGCCGCCTGCCGCTGGCCCGTGCCGTGCACCCACTGGCACCGGCCGTGCACCCACTGGCACCGTCACCAGCCCACGCCTGCAGGGTGCCATCTCCTTTGCGGATGTCCCGCAAGAGGCGCTGCTGGCTGGCGGCGCGGTGGTGCTGGCAGCCATTGGTGGCATTGCCTATGCGGTGGCACAGTCGCAGGAGGGCGGCACCATCTGGCAGGCGGGGCGGCAGGGCGGCGGCAGCGGCGGGTTTGGTGGCAAGCTGCCCCGAGAGGACGCTGTGCTGGTGTTTGGAGCCACGGGGCGCATGGGGCGCACCGTGGTGCAGGAGGTGAGCTGGGTGCGGTGCTCCGGAGCCTCCGCCTTGGCAGCCCGCGCAGACAGCAGCCGAGCCACATTCCACCTGGCTGCCGGCGCCACCCACAATTGGGCCTCCTGCCGCCTCCCCCTGCTCCCTCTCCTTCCACGCGCGCAGTTGCTGGCGCAAGGCCGCACGGTGGTGGCGGCGGTGCGCTCCCCCGGCCGCGCCCGGGACGTGTTTGGCAAGGCGGGGCTGGTGGAGGGGCGGCAGCCGGGCGGCGCCGGCATTCTGTTTGTGGAGAGCGGCGTGGACATCACCAACCCGGACACGCTCAGCCCGCTGATGTTTGAGGGGGTCAGCCAGGTGGTGACGGCGGTGGGCGCCGTGTTTGGACGCACCGCCGAGGGGCAGATGGGGTGAGCGCGGCGGCGGCGGCAGCCGGCACAGGGCCGGCAGCTGCGCGCATTGACCTGCCCGTCTGCCCGCCCGGACACCTCCGCCACCTGTCCCTGTGATGCTGCCCATCCCTCTCTTGTTCTGCGCTGGCCCCTGCCCCTGCCCCTGCCTTACTTGGACGCTGTTCCTGCCCTCCTTTCTTTCTCCCCCACCCCCGCAGCTACCTCGACGACATGACCTCCGAGCGGGTGGATGCTGCGGGCGTGGCAAACGTGGCGGCCGCCGCCGCGGCGTGCCTGGACCCTGCCGAGCGCCGCTCGGAGGGCGTGGTGCGCATGCGGTCGGCGGAGGACCTGCAGAAGTGGCAGAGGTGGGTGTGGTGGCTTGCTGGTGGGTGGCCGGGTGGGCAGGTGGGGGTGGCGGCCTCATGGGGTGGCTTGCAGGTGGCTTGTCGGTGTGTGGACAGGCTGTGGTGCGGTGTGCTGCAGCGTCGAGCAGGAAAAGTGCGACTGTGGACAGCGGTGGCCAGGGGATGGCCAGCAGGATTCGGGGAGAGCCGGGATGCCCACGGATCGTTGGCGAGGCAGCAGAGGTGCCTTGCCGCTGCCGCTGCTGCCCCTGGGTGGGTGCTGGTGCAGGCTGGACGATGTGATCATGGGCGGCAAGAGCTCCAGCGGCCTGGCGGCGGCAGAGGACGGCAGCGGCGCCGTCTGGACAGGTGCCGGGGTGATGCATGGCATGCCACCGATGCAGAGAGGCTGCCGCCGCACCAGCGCCCTTCCCTGCTTGCTCTTCCCTTGCTGACGTGTCCCACCAGCCCAGCCTATCCTGCACCCTCGCACATTGCCCCCCCACCTCGCCGCTGCCACCCACCCTCGCCCTGCCCCCGCCATCTCTGCAGGCGAGCTGATTGTGGATGGCGGCGGCTTCTGCGGGGCCCGCACCAAGCCCGAGCCTCTGGACCTCTCCGCCTACGACGGTATTGCTCTGCGGGTCAAGTCGGACGGCGGGCAGACGGTGAGCGCCGCTGCGCCTGCCACGCACGATCAGGGGCATCTTTCCGTTCCGTTGTGCTAAGGGCAAGGTGTAGTGGGGTTGCGGGGAGCCTGGCGGGGAGGAGGGGAAGCCGGTGGGGTTGGGGGCCAGGCAGGCTGCCGGGCGCCTGCCTCCCTCCCTCCCAGGCTCTGACCATCACCGCACTCGCTCTGGCCCTGCCTGCAGTTCAAGCTCAACATCAAGACCGTGAGTGTTGTCAGGCTGGAGCTGGGCGCCCACTGGATGTTGTTCTGATAGTTTCGGCTGGCAGCCCTTCTGGTCGCAGCGGATCCTGCCCAACCCTGCCTGCCGGGAATGGCGCACACTGTGCCCGCCACCTCCCTGTGCATCCCCCGGCCCTCCCTTCACGCGCTCCCCTCCCTGACTGTGCCCCCTCCCTCTTCCATGCCTGCCCGCAGGAAGCCCAGTCTGAGGTTCCCGAGGACACCTATCAGGTAGCTGCAGCTGCTATGGCGCTCTTCCCCTGCCAGCCGGCTTGTCGCAGCCCATCACCACTTGCCCATTCCGCACCTTCACACTCCTCCCTTATATTCCCACCTAACCCCTTGCCTATCTGCACCACTCCCTCTCCCTCCCGCCCCCAGGCCACCTTCGACACCAACCCGGGCGGCGACTGGACCTCTGTGTTCATCCCCTGGCACGAATTTGTGCTGGTCAAGCGTGCCCGCACCGTGCCAGGCGCCCCACCCATCGACCCCGCCCGCATCCGCCAGTTTGGCCTGGTGTACAGCAGGTGTGTGTGTGTGTGTGTGTGTGTGTGTGGTGGTACATGTGGATTGTGTGTGTTGTGCGGCCATGCAGTGGTCGTGGGGAATGGCCGGAGCAGCAGCCCAGGCCCCCAGGGAGCTCGGCTCACTGGCATGTCTGCCCCTCCCCTTGCCCTTGCCCTCGCCTCTTGCCCTCGCCTCTTGCCCTCGCCCTGCCGACCTCACCTGCGCCTGCTCCCCCCAGGTTCGATTTCAACGGCTTCCCCAACCCGCGGTACCGCGCCGGCAAGTTTGAGCTGGCCATCGAGGGCGGCATCCGCGCCTACAGGGACGCCCGCCCCCAGCTGCTCATGGTCTCCTCAGGTGGGGCGGCTGGCAGCGCTGGCGCAGCTCAGGTGGGGCGGCTGGCAGGGCTGGCGCAGCTGGCACCTGGCATCGCCCAAAGCCCCCTGAACCTCTACCCTTGGCCCGCTGGCCCCTAGCCCTGGCCCTTCCTGGCGCCGCCAGCTGCGCCGCCGTGCCGCTATGCCGCTGCGCGCGCGCCCCCCCCCCCCGCTGACCGCTGCTGCCGCGCCCCTGCCGCGCCTCCTCCCGGGCTCTGTGCAGCGGGCGTGGAGCGCAACGCCAAGGTGGGCAACGACGAGGAGGCGCGCAAGAAGGACATCCCCATTGTGCAGGTGCGGGTGGGCGCGCGTGTGGCGTCTCTTAGTGGGCGGGCGGCGAGTTGCGGTGCTTGCGTGCGTTGGGCGACGGAGGGGACCTCGACCGGCGCCCACGAGCTGCCCGCCTGCCTCCACCTGCCCGCCTGCCCGCCTGCCTCCCTCCTCCTGCCCGTGCAGCTCAACCCCGGCGGTGTGCTGAACCACAAGTACACAGGTGGGAGGGCGGCCTGCGCCTGTGTGGGGCCCCTGGTAATGTACTGGAGAGACCTGCCCTGCGCTGCACCGTGCCGCCCAGCTGACCGCGTGCTGCTGCCGCTGCGTGCCCCGGCTGCAGGCGAGGCGGCGGTGCGTGCCTCTGGCCTGGCCTACAGCGTGCTGCGCCCCACCGGCCTCACAAACGAGTCTGAGCCGGGAGACTTCCTGCTGGAGGCTGGCCAGGGTGGGTGCGGGGCTTGTGTGTGTGTTTGCGTGTGGTTGGAAGGAAGTGGTGGGTGAGGAAGGGGCAGAAGCCATGTGCTGCGGGGCTGTGCTCCCTCCACCCCCACCTCTCCGCTGCACCTCCCGCCGCCTGCCGCCTGCCCTCCTGCCTGGCGCCATCGCTCTCGCTCTCGCATGCACCACGAGACGTGACCCCAGCTGGCCCACGCCTGGCCTGCAGGCGACCGCATCAGCGGGCGCATCAGCCGAGAGGAGCTGTCGACGGTGGTGGTGGCGGCGCTGGGCACCCCCGCCGCCGCGGGCAAGACGCTGGAGCTGCGGCGCCAGGAGTCGGCGGATGCCGCGGGCAAGAAGATGAGCCAGCAGGACAAGCTGAGGTGAGGGTGGGCGGGCGGCTGGCTTCCCTGGGCTGCCACGCTGCGGGTCCCGTGGCTGCTGCCCTGCTGGGCCTTGCGCAGGCCCTGCCCAGGCTCAGGTGCAGGCCCGGGGCTCGCCTCCTGTGCTGTGTCGCTCGCGTGGCAACCCGCGGCGCTGCCACCTGGCGCGCCCGCCGTGCAGGCTGTTCCTGGGCGCCGCCGAGGACCGGCTGCGGCAGAGGGTGGGGCTGGAGCCCTTCCCCGCGCCCGTGGCTCCCCCAGCCCCAGTGAGCGAGGAGCGCAAGAAGGAGATTCTGTCTGGTGAGCAGGGGCTGGTGGTGGGGCGTGGGAGGGTAGCGCATGGGGTGCGGGGCGATTGTGACGCAGCGGCAGCAGCAGCAGCAGCAGCAGCAGCGGGGCCTGTAACAAAGAGTGAAGAACCTACCCACCTGCCAACCCCTCACCCCCTGCCTGCAGATGTGCGGGTGATCAAGTCTGTGGCTGCGGGCCGCGGCGGGCGCGTGCGGGACGAGAAGGATGCGGCGCAGGCCAGCAGCATCACGGTGACCAGCGACGGGCGGGAGAAGGTTGCCGCGGCAGCTGGCGGCGCGCCCGCCAACGTCGCCGAGGCGCGCGCCTGGATCGCGGCCTGGAAAGCCAAGCAAGGCGGCACCGCCGAGGCAGGCGGTGAGGATGTGCCCGCCAACGTGGCCGAGGCGCGGGAGTGGATCCGGCGGTGGCGGGCGGCGACGCTGGAGAAGAAGCTGCCTGCCGCGGCCAAGGTGTGAGCGGGCTGGTGCCATCGTCGTCAGCCGCCAGCGGTGACGCCGAGGCGAGCAGGCACACGTTGGCGCAGCACCTTACAGCTGCCCCGCATCGTGTGTGCCTTTCCGAACGATTCGATATGAGCGACGAGAAGAGTTTTGGATGTGGCTTCCCTGGTCCATCGATTGACGCATTTCATTTACACTGCGCCGGGCGGCGGCGCCCCTCAGTTTTGCACTGTTTCTTTTGCTAGCGCCTGCAATCATGTGCCGCACTGAGATTTTTCTGCCGATCGTCCACTATAACACAAGGCCGAGAGAGTTCTTCTTCAGGAGGATCGCACTTTGGGCCACGCTACCAAAGGGAGTTGCGTTGCTGCCGCCATTCGCTGCCAGCTGGTGCTGTCACTGCCGCAGCTGGCCTCAGGACTCGGCTTCCTTTGCCTCTCCCTTGCCAGAGCTGCTCCCAGTGGGTGCAGAAGCAAAGGAGGAGCTGGAGGAGGAGGAGGAGGAGCTGATGCTGGCCGAGGAGCCGCCGTTTGAAGCGCAGGCGCAAGACGAGCCGCGGGCCCCTGCACAGGCCAACACGCACGACAGCAAGGATTGTTTGTGTGGTGTGCCAGGGAGGGGCAAGACATGGCCAGGCTGAGTCGACAAGCTGGCGAGTGGTAGACCCGCAGGTGGCGGGACGGCCGCCGCCCGCTCACCGTCCTGGTCGCGGCAGGAGAAGTCGAGCTTGGCTCCCTCGGGGCAGCTCTTCTTGCACTGGCGGCGCTGCTCGGCGCACCACTCGCTCTCCCGGGCCCGCACCAGGGCCTCGGACGAGATGAGGAGCAGGGCACAGAGCAGGAGCGAGGCAGTGAGGAGCTTCATTGTGCTGTGGACAGGTGTAAATGGCAAAGAGAGGGAGAGGTGCAGGTTCCTGGGCCTTCCTTTCGCACGTTTTCTTACCAACCGGTTGGAACTGCCAAGAAAGAGACGCTCCCAAACGCTGCTGTTTTTGAATTCCAGCTTCGATTCCTGGACGCCATGACCCTCAAGAGCGCCCTCCTCTGCCTGGCAGTGGCAGGCACGCTGCTCACCGTGAATGCCGAGCCCTCGAGTGCTGCCTGTGAGCAGGCCCGCCAGGCCTGCGCCTGCCCGCCCGGCAGCGTGAGCGACTTCAAGTGTGAGGAGAGCGGCGGCTCCATCTCCTCCTCCTGTGCGTGCGCCACTCCCGGCGGCGGCGGCGGCACGGCGGCCGGCGGCGCTGGCGACACCGCCGCCCAGACCCAGCAGGCCAGTGGCCAGGGAGGCGAGCAGGCACCCACCACCCCCACCACCACCGAGGCCATCGTGGAGAGTGCATCTGCCATGCACTCAATCCAGGTACGCGCTGCGGCTCCCGTGCGCCTGTCCTGCGGAGCGGCAGGCCTGCCCTGGCCAGTCTGTGCTCCCAGTCTCTGCTCCCAGGCGGCCTGAAAGAGGGCCTTTCCTCACCCCCACACCTCATCACTGCTGCAGGGCGTTGTGCTGGGAGCCCTCCTCCTTGTCGCCGGCGTCGTTGGCATGACGTGAACCACAGCAGCCGCAGAAGATGCTCGATCTCAGTGATCTGTGATATCCAAACAATTCTACCGCCCAGTGCCCCCTGTGAATTCATTCGCGCAACTCGGTTGCCCTATCGCTCCGCCGGCATGCAACCTTACAAGAAGAAAGGCAGCTGTGCAGAGGGATCGGCGGCGGGGGCGGCAGCGGGATGCGCGGCGTGTGCTGCTCGGGCAGCTGTGGGTCGGACGGAGCCAGGTATGAGCTGATTCCAAGGCGTCCCAGCAGGTCATCTAGATCGGCCCCAGCACACGCCGCCGCCGTTCCGCCGCCTGGGCGAGAGGGAGAGACACTCACGCTTCACATGTACTCCTGCCAGGTCACAACCCGGCAAACACACAGACAGCCACACAAGCCCACCTGCAGCACCAGGCCGGCGCCTCCTCCTGCCGCGCCTGGACCGGGCACCAGGCCTGGTGGAGCAATATCACGGGCCCCACACACCAGCGCATGAGCCCACCCGCTCTGCCATGGCGCCAGCCGTCGCGTATGCCGCACTCTCACCTCTGCCCCAAGCCGTGCCCGGGACGGCAATCGCGGCCCAGCAGGGGGCGGCCGGCATGGCAGCATGAGACAGGCAACAGCTGGCGAGCAGCCAGGCCATGCTGGCCATGGAGCTGCTGGCAGCTGAGAGCAGGTTATGGAGGGTGGTGGCGGCCCTGTCGCGACGCCTCACCTCGCTCTTGCTCCCACGGCAAACCTCCTCCGCGCCTTCCTGCATTCACACAAGGGCAAAGGGCAGGGGAGCAGCTCCCAGCCAGGCGGCGGGCGGTGTCAACCGCGGCCGCCAGCCCCCAAGGGCGAGGCAAGCGCCAATGAGCAGCACCATGTTGTGTGAAAGGTCTTTACAGACTCTGCTGATCAAACCATGCTCTGGATGGACACAAGTTTGATGGACACAAGCAGGAGCAGGGAATACATGATGTGAAGCAGCGCATGCTAACGGGAAAGGAGGCTGCTGGGGTGCCAGACCTCCCCTCGTTGCTGGACCCTGCTGAGCCAGCTACTCCTGGTGCTGCTGCTGCTCCTCTTCCTGCCGCGTGTGTGCGGCTTCAGCTGCCCGCTGTGCCACCCGCTGCTTCTTGGCCTGCTTGCTGACCTTGATCCGATAGGGCGCTCGATTGCCAGTGCTACTTGGCCACCTCGACGCCTCTGCCGAGTGCTTGCTGCCTGCCGAAGTGCTGTGGGCGCTCGAGGTGAGCCAGAAGCTGCCAGAGGCACCCGGGGCCGCGTCTGCTTGTGTTTCCTTGGCACGATGTGGAAGGCATCCGCTGCAAAGAGGAGTGAGACTCAAGGCGGCCCAACTACCAGCTGAGCCTCATCGCTTGGCTGTGCGCCCTGCGCCGCCAGCGTTCTGCTCCAGCCTGACCACCAGCTGCTGGTCCCCAGCTCTCAGCAGGTAGTCCCCGCAGTATGGCGGCGGCTCCACCGCCGCCTGGCACCCCCCTTCCCGGCTGCCGCAGCTGCTGCTGCCGCCCAAGGGGGAGAACGGGACAAACTCGCAAGCTGTAAGGTTGAAGCCAATGGTGGCTGCTGCGCCGGGGCCCAGAGCCTGGATCCGCCTGAACCCAGCCAGTGTCTGCCGTGGCAGGTCTCCCGGTAGATCGCCGCTGGTATAGGCAGTACACGGCGTCCTGATGGTAGCAGCAGGGCGTGGAGCCAGGACAGGCCGCAGCCAGAGCGGCAGCCACCAGCGCTGGCCTCGTCCCTGCAGCTCCCCGTGCTGCTGCTGGGTGCTGACAAGGCTGAGCAGCAGCAGGACAACCTCATCGGATGCCCTGCCTCCCGTGTTGGCGACGCTGAGCGACACATGCAGCAGCGGGGCCTGGCCGCTGCTCCCCATGCTATGACTGGTGGTGGTGCCAAAAGGCCCTGCTGCTGCTGCTGCTGCTGCCGCTAATGCAGCTCCCCGTGCTGCTGCAGCCTCCATGCCAGAGTAGGCAAAGGTGGTATAGGAGAGGCCGTGCCCGAAAGGGTACAGCGCAGGCACCTGCAGGGACACGGAAGGAGGGCAGGGTGGGCTGCGCAGGCCAAGAGGAGCAGCCATGCACGTGCATCGCCCCTTGCCTGCAGGTACCGGTGTGTGCGGCCTGGCCAGCGCCGCATGCTCATCTCAGCAAAGTCGGACTGAGCGGTGTAGTTTTGGAAGTAGAAGGTGATGGGCAGGCGCCCTGCTGGCGACAAGTCACCAAACAGCACGTCTGCCACGGCTTCGCCGCCCTGCATGGCCGGGGCGGGGGAGCATGCAGGCTGTGGTGGGTCACATGCTGCGGCACGCACGGCATCACAAGCACATGCACAAGCACATGCACGTGCGCTCGCCTGCCCAGGCATCCAGGCCGTGAGGATGGCAGCCACCCGGGGGCTGCGCTGGAGCCACTCCACATCCAGCGGGCCGCCATGCACCAGCACCACAGCGATGGGGGTGCTGCTGCGCTTGGCCACCGCCTGGAAGGCAGGCAAGGAGCGCAGATGCGCAGCGCAGCGGCAGGTATTATCGGCGGGGTGGTGCGAGGCACAGGCGGGTGCCAGCGAGCAGCGGTGCCATGCCGCCATGCCCGGCGCGCGCCATGCCCGCTCGGCTTCCGCAGCCCTGCCCCCACCGGCCCCACCTGGATGAGGCTGAGCTGGCGGCCAGGCAGCCCTAGGTCTGTGCGGTCCCACCCTTCCCCTTCTACCGCTGGCGACAGCAGCGGAAGGGTGCCAAAGCGGGACACCTCCTGCACGCCCCCCCACACCGCGGTCGTGCCAACAAAGAAGATGCAGGCATCGGAGCGCCGGCAGGCCGCCACCGCCGCATCCGTTTCCGCGCCTGCGACAGGGCAGGCAGAGGCACGCGGGCTGGTGGGGCTGGCCGCCAAAGCAGCTACCTGGCACGCCGAGTACCGCCTCCACCAACCCACCTGTCCCCATGACCTCCGCGCCGGTGAGCAGCTCCAGCTGCACGCCGCGGCCATTAAAACCCCCGCCGGCATGCAGCTGGCGGTTGTGAGCCCCCACTCGCTCAGCGATGGCCTGATAGGGTGTCGTCACCTGCCTGGAGGGGTATCCATAGTAGCTGCCCAACAGGTACTCTGCAGTACAGCAGTCATATCAGGGGGTACAGCGGTCATACCAGGCAGGAGAGTTGGCGAAACCAGCGAATCGAAGGCGACCATCCGATCGGCAGGAGCAGAGCAGCACATTTCCGGTCCAGGCTCACCAGAGCGGTTGGCCATCGGTCCCAGCACAGCCAGCCGCCGCAGCTGCCCCAAGCGCAGGGGCAGCAGCGGGGTGGCTGCCAGCGGCGCTGCTACGTGCGGCGCAGGAGGGTCGTTCTTCAGAAGCACTGTGGAGGCGGCTGCAGCCCTGCGGGCCAGCTCCAAGTGCGCCTGGCTGCCCACCACACTGGGCGGAATGCGGCGGTACGGGTTGTCATCCCCAGGACCATCAAAGTGGCCCAGCGCAAACCTGCAGACGCAAGGCACGTGAAAGAGCGCTTCAAATTGCGGCGGTAGCCAGTCGTGCAGTGGTGAAGGGCAGTGCACAGCAGCGAGGGCCAAACAAACCTCAAAACGGCTGGCCCCGGCTACCTGGCCAGCAGCAGGCGGTGCACGGCGGTGTCGATGTCCTCCTCGGTCACCAATCCTTGCTCCAAACTCTGCCTGCGCGAGGGGTGCGAAGCACGACCCAGCCAGGGCTGTGAAGTGCGGTAGCGCCAGCTCGCTGCCTGGCTGAGCCCTGCCCAAGCTCCCGCCTGCAGCTGCCGCCACCTCTGCCCGCAGCCCAGCTGGCTGCCCGCCTGATGTGGCTGTAGTCCATGCATGCCAGGTCGGTGCCTGCCCTGAGCGCTGCCGCAAAGCCCTCTGCGTGGGTCTTGGCCCACTCATGATGCTCTGCAGTGGCGGCGCAGGGCATGGGGCAGAGCATGCGACGATGGCAGCTTGGGGTCCGCTCCGGCAGCAGCTTGGCGGCAGCAGACGACAGGTGGTCAACCTCCAGCCCCTCTAGCACCTGTGATGCTGTTGATGGCGCCACAGTCGCTCACCACAAACCCGCTGTAAAACAAAGGGCAGGAGGAGGCCAGGGTTTGTGAGCAGGCAAGGGGGGCATCCTCTGGTTGCTAGCTTGCATGGCGCATGAAAGATGCCACGTCCTGCACCGCATGCCGCCGCTCCCTCACCCAAACTGCATGCGCCCCCGCAGCTGCTCCTGGAGCAGCCAGCGGTTGGCGCAGGCGGGGGTAGAGTTGATTGCATTGTAGCTGCAGAGCACGCTGGCGCTGCCTGCCTCAATGGCACAGGCCTGGAAGGCGGGCAGGTAGCTGTCCCTCACGTCCCTACACACGTCAGCACCCCTCGAGTCAAAACACACATGCCAGGCGCACGCCAGCAGCAGCAGCGGCCGACATGGTCCACCATAGATCGCCGCTGCCTCAGGTGGCTCACCCAGGCTGGCAATGGGAGACAGTCAGCAGCAGCAGGGACACCCCGTGCAGCGGGCTGCCAGCCGGCAAGGCCAGCCGGCCACCCGCCTGGGATCCAGCCGCGCATCAAACTCGAAGCGCGAGACCCCCTCCCACTCCTCAAGAGAGTAGGCGGCACAGTGCTTGCAGGTGGCGCCCGCCTTGCGGTACCGCGAGTGGCTGCCCTGCAGGCCCCTGCACGGCGCAGCACGGCGGCGGCAGCGGCAGCGGTGGGGTGCAGGCCGCAGGCCAGCGGCGGCATGCAGGCCAGCGGCGGCGTGCAGGTGGGGAGGATGCACGCTGAAGCTGCGCCCTGGCCTGGGCGATATGGGGTGTCACACTGCTGCCGCCCCAGCCCCGCCCCTCCTCACCGCACAAAGGCCTTGGCCAAGGCTCCCGTCAGCGCCGGGTCCTCCCCGCTCGTCTCGCTGCCCCGCCCCCAGCGCGGGTCGCGGAAGAGGTTGATGTTGGGGCCGAAGCAGTGGGTCATCCTGCGGGGCATGTGCAGGTGCGTGGGTGCGGTGGGGTGGTGCAGCAGCAACGAGATAAGGGGGAGCCAGGGTCGCGCAGTGGCATTTCCCAGGGCCCCTCACATGTGCCCCTGGCACCGCATGAAGGCTCCAGCCCCACCCAGCCCCACCTGGGCCCCAGGCCCTGCTGCTCGGCGGCGTTGCTCTTGGCCCGTAGCTCGTCCCCAATGGCTGACGCCACGTCTTGCACCAGCTGACGGTCAAAGCTGGCAGCCAGTGCAATGGGCTGCAGGGCAAGGGGCATTGGGAGAACGCCGTGCATTGCCCGGCAGTGCTGCAGCAGTTTTGCAAATGCCGGGGCAAGTGCCAGTGGCAATGCCTCTGACCTGTGGAAAGATGGTCGCGCCGCCCTCTGTCGCGCTGTCGACCTTGGCTCCGTGCAGGCACTCCGACCACCACTCGAATGCGGGAATCAGCTGCTCCCCGCCGGCGCGGGTGACCGCCGGCGCGGTGCTGCTCATCTGGCCGATCTTTTCGCTCAGGGTCAGTTGGCGCAGCAGCCGGTCTGCGCGGTCGCCAAAGGGGTGGTGGCCAGAGGGTGGGAGCGGCGGCGGCGGACCAGTGGGGGTGGCGAGGGAGTTGCTGGCATGCCCGGGGGTCGTGCCAGTTGCGGCCAGGAGCGTCAGCGAGATAGTCAGACCCAGAAGCAGGCGCTGGGTGATGGCGACAAGCAGCATGGCGTTTTGAACACCTCCCTGCTCCAGAATTCAGGCTCTCCCCATCATGTGGGATTGATCATAGGGGACGAGACGGGCTATTTTGGTGGTGCTGCTGAATTGCGTGGCATGACTGGACACCTTGCCGAAACGACGCTCAAGAGCGGTTACAGCTCTGGGGCTCATTGCAGTGCTGCCTGCGATCATGACGGAGGTAGAGAAGCTGCAGGCCGACCCGCAATTCGCCATCGAGCTTGTGCTGGGACCTCCCTGCCCCGAGCTGGTGCCACAAGATGCCTCGCGCGGCCTGAAGTTCGCAGGTGCGCCCTTTTGTCATATGAATGTACAGGGTCTCTTCTGAGTGAAGATCTCATGAGCTCGGGAGATCTTTAGAACTTCACATCGCCCTGGTGCCACCCCCAGGCGCCTGAAACAACGCTGCCAGCCCGCCAGCCCTCGCACGCTGCCCCTCCGCAAGCTGCCATCCCAGCCACCGTGCCGCCGCCCACGCCACCGCTCCGCCTGCCGCAGGCCACTTCACCAGTGCTCCGCAGCAATTTGTGTTCAAGAAGGCCCATTTGAGTGGCGACGACTTCCGGATTTTCAACAAAGAGGTGAGGCGGCTGGGACAAAGCAGCCTGCGGCGTCGACCCGAGCTTGCGTCGCCCCGTCGGTTGGGGCGGTACAGGCTGCGACCCCCCTACTGCTCCCTTGCATTCCGTGCGCTGTTGGCATGCAGGGCCACCTGGTTTGCGTGTCGCACCACGAGGGCAAGAACCCGTACGAATCGCTTGACCCGCTGGGCCTCTCCAACCAGCCCCAGCGGCTGGAATGGAAGAGCCTGACATGGGTGACAGGTGAGCACAGGCCGCTTGCGCCACCCTGAGCGCTGCTGCCGCCCCCCTCACTTGCCCGGCCCGGCTGTGCGCCGCCGTGTGCAGGCTACCATGGCATGCCCAGCTTCAAAATTCGGCCCAAGGCGCTGAGCAGGCACGGGCGGCAGCATGTGGTGGACTACCAGGGCGCCCAGGTCTTCTTCAGCGTGGGCAACAAGAGCCGGCTGAGCACCATGAGCGTGCGGCACAACATGGAGGTGCGGGGCGGCGGCGGGGATGAGGGGGAAGCAGGCGGCCAGGCAGCAGCGGCCTGGGGCGCCCGTATTGGCCGCATCTGGCGGACACGCAGCCGCCGCCCGGTGCTGCTCCCGAATGCCGCTGTGCTGTGCTGGGTGCAGGTGTGCCAAGGCGAGGGCTCCGAGGTTGTGTACGAGATTGAGGCAGACCTGGCGGGCCGCACGCTGCAGTTTAAGGTGGCCCTGTGCCCTGCGGCTGCCTCGGCGCCAGCCCATCGCTCTCCAAGCTCGATGCAAATGGCCTGCTCATTCTGCTGCTCTCACCGGCAGTCTTCAAATTCCTGTTCCCCTGTTGCCCTGGTGCCGCGCAGAACCCCCAGGGCCAGCTGGTGGCTGTGGCGCAGAAGTCCACCAAGGCGCTGATCATGAATGCGGCGCTGGGCGGCGGCAGCGAGATGGCGGTGGACGTGGCGGCGGGCGTCGACTGGACCGCAATCCTGGCCTGCATAATGGCCATCCAGCAGGTGCGGGGCAGGGCGGGCGGCGCGGCAGGGGTTGCAGGGGGTGCACTCCCTCCCATGCACGTGGGTGCACAGGATGGCGTGGGGCGGGGGCGTTGCGGGGTCTGAATGGCGTGCCCTCGGTGCCCCCACACCTGTCACTTCCGCAGGTGGGAGCGCACATGGCGAAGGATGCCTTTGGCAACTTTGTGGCAGCCCCGCTGGCCAACCAGGCGCAGGATGCGGCGCTGGAGGCCACCGGCCTCGACGGGATTGCAAACCAGGTGCCGCGGCTGGCGCTGCTTCTCTGCCGCATCTGCTGCACGCCTGCTGCTGGCAGTGCTGGTTGCCTGCTGCTGTCTCCTTGAAGGAATGTGTGGACCTCCCTTGCCGCCTTGCCGACCGCGTGGGATGCCTGCGGCTTCTACTACCTGCAGCTGGGCAGCCTCACCAACTCTGGCATCCGGAAGTTCTCACAGGCCAATCACATGTATCAACAGGTGGGGGGTGGAGGCCTGCTCCCTCCCTGCTCGCCTGCCGATGCCTGCCGTCGCGAGTGCCGCTGCGTGCCAGTCTCACCGAGCTGTACACGCCTACGGATCCTGCTTGCAGTTCTTCAAGTGATGCACCAGGATCGTGGAGCTGACGGCTGGAATTTCCCGCAGCGTTGATGTGGCAGGGTGGCAGGGTGACCAGCGCCCTTGCCCTGCCCGGCTGCCGCGCCCACCACTGACAGCAGTGTGCTCCTTTGATGCACGCCACCTGACACACACTGACTACATTGTCTCATTTGATGTTTTTATCGGGCAAGGTGTCAATTATCGGACGGACAAGCGATGGTTTAGGACAGCACTGGGCCATGCGCTTGCGCCTCGGGCGGGGGATGACATGGCGTTGATTGGGCTGCCCTGCTCATTCCCTCGCATTACCTGACCATCGCCACCGACAGCCACGCAGCAGTTATTCCACCCGCCAACGCAGCGACACATATGCATCTGCGCGGATGCACCGCCTCGCAGCTCGGCTGCTTGGCAGCCAAGCAGCACTGCCTCCTTCCTGCGGGCCGGCAACCCGCAGCGCGTCACGCGGTGCTGGAGGCGGGCGGCAGGCGGCAGCGCGCGGCAGCGCGAGCGGCAGCCGGCGGCGGCAAGGCGGCGGCGCCGCCCGTCACCCTCACGCTCCCCTGCAGCACCAGCATGGCCATGCCGCAAGCCGCGCTTGTCATAGGCAGTGCTGCCGACGCTGACGTGCAGCTGGAGGGCAGCAACGTCGCCGCGCAGCACGCGCGGCTGGAGTGGCGGGGCGGCCGCCTGTTCTGCACCGCGACCAGCGGCGACCCCGACATCCTGCTGGCGCCCACACACTGCTGGCTGGACGGCGTCGAGCTGCGGCCCGGGGTGATGAGCTGCAGCGCGGCCTGCTGGCGCTGCCCCTGGGCGTCATGCGTGGCACCAGCGCTCCCTTGCCCGATCATCCCTGACTATCCCTGGCGTTGGACCGGCCGCCGCCTGCAGGTCAGCTACATGGTGGCGCCGGGCGCCCGCATTGCGGTCGGCAGCCAGGACACGTGCCTGACCTGCAAGTTTGAGGAGGGCGGCAGCAGCGCCATGACCGAGATGCTGATGAAGGTGGGGTGGCTGGCTAGTGTGATGAGAGGCTGGGGGTGCAGGGCGCCCCCCGCCGTGCATGCCCCCGGCTTGCGTCTGGAACAAGGAGCGGGCGCTGGGTTGCGCTCCTGGCACGGCTCGTCCCCCTGGTGAGGAGCGCCTCACGCGGTGCCACTGCCATCCTGCTTTACTGCAGGGCCTGGCAGCCGGCGCGAGCAAGGAGATTCAGGACAAACTGGGCGGGCTCTGACCCGGCTTGGACACGCCTGCCTTTCGTGGCAGTCCAGAGCAGCCCGCAGCGGTGCATTGGCTCTTGATCTGCCAAGGGTTGGTGGCACCTCGATATTACCTTGCAACCGCAGTTACAGAGGGTTTGCGGCCCGGCCCATGTTAGTACTAGGCATGGGTGCGTCAAAAGCAGGGTGGCGACGGCCGTATCAGCCAGTCGCCAGTCGCCAGGAACAGATCAGGAATCGGCGAGATTGGGAAGGCTATGCACGTGCCCACCAGGCATGTTCATGTCTCATTCATTTGAATGTGTGCACAGGGACTGTGCACACTTGATGAGGGGTGGTGTCGGTGGCAAGCAGAGCGGAGGAGAGGCAGAGAAGGGAGGGAAACAAGGAATTGGTTGAAAGAAGGGGTGCCGGTGTGCTGCACATGAAATGGGGCGGGCGCCAGGCAGCGGCGTGCTCGGGGGCGGGGCGAGTACAGGAACAGGGGAGGGGGCACACAACGAGATGAGAATGGGAGGGTGGTTACCTAGCGAAATGACGACACTGCCTATGCAAAACTAATTGGTAAGAATCCTATATCATTGTCTTGAAGGGAGGCTGTTGGGGGGGCCTATCTATCGGCTGCGGCTGGACAGCGGTGGGCCGGCCTGTGCCATGCAAGCTGCAGGGCAAGCGCTACCTGGCGCGTTGCATGGCCTCCGGCGCTGGCTGGTGTGTCCGCTGCGCAGCGCATCCCGATGCCGCCGCTCCCTAGCCCGCCGGCGGGAACAGCCTATCCTTGAGCCGCCGACGGCCCTCTGCTCGGCTAGCTTCAGACAGCGGCTCCGCCTCCTCCGCCTGCTCTTCATCCGGTTCCTGCTGCTGCTGCTCCTGCTCCTCCGTTGCGGAGAGAGAGGAGGACTCCACATCAGGATCGTCCTCTGAGCCATCTCCTCCCGCCTGAAGCAGCTCCTGGCCCCATTCATTCTGCAGCATTGTGCGCCGCAGGTCGTCTTGTGCGGCCGCCTCCAGCGCCATGCCCGGCAGCGCTGGCTGCCCCTGCTGCTGCAGCAGGAGGCTCAGCGCCTGCATGGCGGCCCCGATGTTCAGCCGCCCGCCCGTGATGGTGGCGGTGGCTCCCTTGCCGGGGCTGGGGTCCACGGTGCTCAGCAGCAGCCTCTTGACTTGATCGTACGACAGCTGAACGCCTTGGCTGCAACCACGCGGGAGCGGAAGTGGTGCGGCGTGGGCCACCAACAGCGAGTCAAGAAGCAGAGGAGATGGCGAGAGAGGGCGCCGCCCAGGTGCGGTGCAGCAGGCGCCAGGCATCGGGCAGGGGTGCAGGCCATGCGGCTGACACGCAGCTGCCCAGCGGCGCCGCCTCACCTCAACGCTGCGCTTTGCAGCAGCGCTGCCGAGGCAGCGACTAGGGGGCAGGCCATGGAGGTGCCATCCATGGCCCCATACCTTCATGGGGCCAGCGGGGAGGCCAGCGGCACTCACAACCAGCGCTCACCAGGCGGCGCATGCGGGCTGCGTGCTTTGCCCGGGCTGCAAGCGGCTTGCCGCATGCGCAGCGATCGGGGCAGCCCTCACCAGTTGTTGTACGTGGTGCTGAGGATCTGCTCGCCCGGCGACAGCATGTGAACCGTGGATCTGCAGGCATGGTCATCGGCACAGGTGTGAGGACTGCAGATCAGGGAGGACAAGCCACCCCAGGTGCCAGCCTCCACCGGCCCAACCAATAACAGGGACCCAGGGAGGCAGCACAGGGCAGGTGGCCCTGCCCAGGCCCGCCGCCGCCGCCTCACCGGCCATGGTTTGAGAAGGAGGAAAGGTCGTCGGCTCGCGTGCTGGCCCCCACCACAATCATGTTGTCCATCCTGCGGCGCCAAGCAGCAAGCAGTGAGAAAGGCGGGGCAAGAACAGGGGCGGGTCTGCACCTGAATGACAGGGCGCCAATTCTGCCTGTGCCAAGGAGCTGAAGCCATTCGCCTGCTCACACTCACTCTGAGGACGCGGGGAAGGCGGGGCGGGCATCCAGGTCTGTGCCCTGGTTGCCGGCAGCCACCACAAACAGCATGCCGGCGGCCTTGATCTCCCGAAGCGCAGCGTCGATGGCCTCTGCAGCGTGCAGCAGGCACAGCACATGCACACCAGCGTCAGCGGCTAGACAAGCAAGCTAGTCATGTGTGCGCAGGCACCAGGCAATCGGCGGCTGCGCTGACGGCGTGCCGCCGGTGGAGCGGCCGTGCAAGGCGCCCCATGCCACTCACTCGATTGCGGCACGCCGCCCCAGCTGTTGGTGCTGACGGTGGCGCCCTCCTCGCGGCACAGCCGCAGGCACTCAAGCGCATCGCTGATGCTGCCAAAGCCGTCGTCCCAGATGAAGCGGCACACCAGCAGCTTGACATCCATGGCCACACCCGCCACGCCCAGCCTGCAGAGGGGACCTGTTTTTGTCAGAACGGTACGAGCGGCAGGCGCCAGGCAGCAGCCCCCTGGTTGGCTGCAGACACTTTGCAGGGTAGCCTCCCAGCCTGCTGGCTGGCTACCTGGCTGGCTGTCTGTCTGTCTGGCTGGGGTGCCCGGCAGCGAACTCACGCGTTGTTGCCGACGGCGGCGATGATGCCGGCGGTGTGGGTGCCGTGGCCGTATGTGTCGTTGATGTCCTTATAGGCTGGGGAGTCGGGGGAGGGGCTGTCAGCATCAAAGTCCTGCAGGCAGCAGAGCCGCGCAGGAACAGCAGCCATGCATGCAGATCGGTTGGGCTGGACGGGCAGGCGGCAGTACCAGGGGCCCTGGAAGAGCGCCCAAAGCCCAGCGAGCTGGCAAAGCCCTTGCCTGCACTTCCGGCACCAGGTTCCACCCGGCAAAGACGCGGCCTGCCAGGTCGGGGTGGTCTGTACGGATGCCGCTGTCAATGTGGCACACCTGTGGGGGAGCACGTGCAGCGGGGCAGCACAGCAAGCATACATCAGCCCAGTGCCGGGGCTGCCCAAATGCCCACTCCCGGCGTCTGCAGCGCCCCCGCTCGCTGCCACATGTGCCGCAGCAGGCACGACGGCGGGCGCCAGCCTGGACCCCTCCCCATCTCTCGCTCACCTTGATCTCGCCGCTGCCCCTGCTGCCGTCCCACGCCACCTGGCTGCTGATGGTGCTGTGGTGCCACTGCGCCTTGAGCAGGCTGTCGTTGGGCACCCAGTCCACTCTCACCAGATAGTCCGGCTCAGCAAACTCAACGGCTGCAAGAAGGAAAGGACGAAGAAGGCCAGGCCACGCCAGGTGAGGTGCTTGCCGTCGGCAGGGAGCAGGGCACCACACAAGCCAGCTGCGTGTACCGCGGCGAGTGCACCGCGTCGGCTTGCAGAGCACACCCCACTCGCCCGCCCGCTCACCGCCCACCCACCTGGCAGCTGGGACACCTCCCTCGCCTTGGCATGCACGTCCGAGCCGTCCAGGATGCTGTACACGCCGGCGTTGGGGAGCCCAGCCTGGCGCGTGAAGCGCAGGCCGTTGGCGCCATCATCCATGGCGGCGACCACATCGGGGCGCAGCTTGACGATGAGGCGCCCCGGCGCTGTGCGGTAGGGCTTCTGCACAGGCGGCGGCAGCAGGGGAGGGGATGAGGGCTCCACCAGACTGCCAGGATGCGCTGGTAGGGCGGTGGGCGGCTGCGGAGGAGGCATCCAGGACGTGCGGAAACCCTAGCAGCGGCGAAACCACAGACCGCCCGCTGCCGGGCACCGCACGGTGCTGATCACATGTGCCATGGTGCAATGCAACAGCATTACCTGGCCTTTGCTGAGCGACCTGGCTGCTGCTGGGTGCGCCGGCAAGATGCATGCCAGCAGCGCCATGGTGATTGTGCCCGCCGCCCATAAGGAAGAACGGCTGGGGCTGGCCATGCTCATAAAGCGCTCCAGCGCCTCAACAGCGCGAAGCGTGGCCCCTTGGGGTCTCCAGCTCGCCAAGGGAGCGGGGTGAAGAAATGGGAGGGAGATCTGCTGGTCTCCACCCACGCCTCCTGAGGAGCTGTGCGGGCTGTGGCTGCGGTAAAGAGCGGCAATATGGCCGATGGAGGCGTTGCGGGGTGGAGGAGGTGGCTTAGGGGACAGACATGCACAAATCAGATCCTTCTTGTGACCACGCGCCACGGCAGGGAGGAGCGTGGCAGCGATGATCGGGAAGCGGAAATCCAGGCGTCGAGGGATGCGCGATCCATTGGGCTCGCGGGGGCTGCTGCGTGAAGAGGTGCTTGCCAGGTGGACCCACTGTGACGCAAACAAGAGCCCTTTGCTGGCGTCCCAAATAATACTTTTGATACCCATAACCAAAAAGATGACGTCCCACACACATCCGAAGCTGCCTGGGCAGTTGCTGGCTCATGTGCAGCCGCCACCGAGGGTGGTGCCAGCACTCCACTAATGCCCCCAGCAGGGCCCTCCAAATGCCTGGCACAGCTGCGGCGCTTGCCTGTGTAGATTAGTGTCACAGTTGTGCGATGCCGTCACCGTCGCAGCATGCGTGTCAAGTGCTGGCGGCGGCGGGCGTGCCCGCCCCGCCTGCCTGCTGACCCAGCTGTGCCTGCTGCAGCAGCCACTCCTGCTGCTGCTGGTCCCCCAGGAAAGCGGCATGGGAGGGCGTGTGCAGGATGGCCTGCTGCAGGTCGGGCGGCAGCGCGCTGAAGGCCACCCGCAGCTTCTCCTGCAGCTGGTCGGCGAGCGCCGCGGCGCCGCCCCGCTCGCCGCCGCCGCCGCCGTCGCCCTGCTGCTGCTGCGGCTGCTGCTGCGCCTTGGCCAGCTGCTGCTCCAGCAGGAAGAAAGACTCCACCGACAGCAGCTCCTCCTGGGGCGCCCTGGCCGCCGCCGCCCACTCCTGGCGCTGCCATTCCTCCGCCGCCAGGCGGCGCAGGTGCAGGAAGGCCACCAGGTTGGGGGAGCGCAGGAAGCGCTCGTAAAAGGCCAGCAGGCCGCGCTGGCCGCCAAAGCGCTCCAGCAGCGCCTGCGGCAGCACCACCTCCTTGGACCCCAGCCGCGCCAGCAGCGCGGGCACGTCCAGCTGCGCAAGCGGCGGCGGCTGCTGCGGCGAGGCTGCGACAGCGTGGGGTGTCGGGGGCAGGCGGAGGGCGAGGCGGGGTGCAGGGGGTCACGGGCTGTGTGCTTGGGAAGGTCAATACGCAGCCAGGCAGCTAGGTGCCAGGTGATACCACCCCCTGCTGCCTAGCCCTAGCACCAGCCCGCTCACCGAGAGGGGGCTCGCCGGCCGCGTCCGCCGGCGGCGGCGGCGGCAGCGTGGGCGTCAGGTAGGGCAGCAGCGGCATGAGCAGGGCCCTGGTGAGGTCCTGGAAGTGGCGGCGCAGCATGGAGGAGTTGACGGCAGCCAGGCGGCGCCACCGGTCCGCGGGGTCTGCAGCAGGAGGATGCACGCAGGCACACACAAAGCAAGCATACACGGGGATGGTCGGGGCAGGGCAGCGTGCTTGGGGAGGGTGGGCAGGACAGGCAGGACAAAGAGAGACAGCCAGCGGGGAGGCGGCTGCGCCGCGTGAGCGAGGGGCGGTGGGGGCGCTGGGAGGGCGGCCAAGTGCCCCTGAGGCTGCCCCGGGGAGGCTGCCCAGCAGCCCTGCTGCTCTCACCCGACGGCTGCGGGTGCACCAGGCGCTGCAGCACTGGCTTGTCTGGCCTGCTGAGTGGCTTGTACCCCATCCAGCAGTGATCGAGAGGCTCCGACAGCAGCGCCGCAGGCGTGGCCGGCCGCCGCCGCAGCATGCCGCCCAGCCGGCTGGTGCCGCCGCCCTGCCGACCGGCGGCGAGGCCGCCGCCGCCTCCGCCGCCTCCGCCGCCGTACCCGCCGCCGCTGCTCCCTATGCTGGCTCCCGACTCAGAGGCGTGTAAGCTGGCGGTACTGCCGGTACTGCCAGCTGCTTCCTCCAGCCGGTCGCTGCTGCTGGAGGGCGGCAGCGTGGCCGCCGTGTGCCCCGTGGAAAGCACGTTGGGCCACTCGGGAAGCGCCTGCGGGCAGAGCGGCGGCACAGCAGCACGGCAGCCAGGCTCGAGACAGCCCAGCCAGGCAACCACCGCAGGCGCCCTGCAGGCGAGCGGGCGTCGCGCTGCGGGGCCGCGCGGCGCGGGCGGCTGCTGGCCAAGGTGCGCTGCCCGCCCAGCTGGCGGCTGCCTCCAGCCTGCTCTGCCCTGCGTACCTTGAGGAAGTACATGTTTGTGATGCCCAGGG